CTCTTTATGACAAAAGACTTGTCATAATAAACGTAGTCAGAATAGTATACGGTTGTAACGAGTAGTTTGTCAAAATATCTTATGACGAAATGCTGAATAGTCAAAATATGTTTTATTTACCTATCGACGACTAATTAAGTGAAATTATCGATGAATGGCGGGATATTATGGAGCGGCGGAAGAAGAAATATCTCCAATTCTCAAACTGAAAAGAAAACTAAATCGGTGATGGAGGGAATTCAGGGCGCTTCTTTTTTTTTTCATTCTCTGCCAAAAAATCAAAAGTTTAGCTCCTCGATCTCTTCCGCCCTTTCTTTCCTTTCGTTTTAGGAGATTAACCCAACCACCTATCTGAAACCCTAGATTGATCATCTCCATACCCCACTCTGTTCCTGCGCGCAGTCCTCATCCACCGCCATCCCCGTGCGTAGACCTCATCCACCGCCGTCCCCGCATCCAATTTAGTCACTACATCCACTTCCTTTCCCGCATGTCAGAATCCCTGCAGCCTCCAGTTTGATTGTTCGTTTGTTTTTAAGTTCCTAGGTTTTCTTGCTTGGGTTGCATGTTCTATTCCGTCCCTAGAGGGAAGGAAACAGATTGTGCAATTGACTTCCAATCCCTAACCCTTGTCTTATTGCATGCCCAGCGGAAGCATCACCAACAATTTTCGAGATCCTCAATCGTCCAGATTCATATATTTGGAACAGGTCCTTAGATAAACGAAAGAGGACAATCGAACCCAAGGTTAGCACCCCTCTCATTCTCTTCCCCTTAATGCATGAATCTGTCAAATTATGAGTGCTTACTCGTTCCAAATTGACATTCAAATTCCGCGAGTTCTCTTTTGTTTGATTGTCAATGTGTGAGTTAGTAATTAGGTATTGTGAGGTTGCAACCTTCTTTAGTTGTTTGTTAACATCGCCATGTCTGAAAGCATTAGTTGGACATCATTACTGTGCTAATCTGGGTTTTGTTTCTGGTAAGGGAGTGTCCAGCAGCCTGCTAGGAACCCCAACTAACCATGTTTGCATTTGTTTTTCCCCCAGGTTCTACTAATTTTAATCCTCCTTCTCCTGCGTCAGCTGGGCATTTCTGTTGGAGTTGTGAACTGTTGGAGTTCCATTGAAAGTGGGAATTTGCAGCAAAGGCACATTGATTTGTTCAGTTTAGTTCACTTTAAGTGCACTAGGAGAATGGATAAGACGTGGTTGAAACTGAAGGATAGATTATGTTCTCAGTATGTACGTGGTGTTGATGCATTTATACAATGTCTTGATGGTCAAGGTAGAGTTAGGTGCCCATGCCGAGGGTGCAACAATTGCTCCTTCAAGACCGTTGAGTTAGTGAAAGGTGATATCTACAATCATGGAATGGTTTCGGATTACGTACGGTGGGTTAATCATGGGGAACATGCTGTTGAGATTGGTAGTAGTGGTCCAGTGAGCTCTCCTCCTCATGTTGAGGAGGAGGATAATTTTTTTGTTGATACAGACATTCCTATCATGTTAGATGACTTAGGTAGAGCTAACGTCACACAAAGACCTGATTATGGAAGCTCCATTAGGGATGTTGGGGATATTGATCCCACGTTAGCAAGATTGATTAAGGATGCTAAAGCTCCACTTTTTCTTGGTTGTGAAACCTTCTCTAGACTGTCATTCATTATGAAGTTGATGAACAAAAAAATAATTACAAATAGTTCAGACAAGTCATTCAACTTGAATTTGGAAACGATTAAAAAGGCTTTACCTAAAGGTGAGTCTTTGCCAAGTTCTTACTATGATGTGAAGAAATATATTAAAGACCTGGGTTTTGGTTACAACACAATAGATGCTTGCGCGAATGATTGTGTTTTATTAGGGGGGATCTTCTACATGAGAGGAAATGCCCCAAGTGTCAATCAGATAGATATTTTGCTGGTAAAGGGTCTGATGTTGCCATTAAAAGGGCTAGGTATTTCCCTATAAAGGATAGGCTTCTGCGGTTGTTTATGACTAAGAATATTGCGAAGGTTGTGAGGTGGCACAAGGATAATCGTGTTGGAGATGATATCCTTAGGCATCCAGCAGATGCACAGACTTGGAAAGATTTTGATGCAACCCATAATTGGTTTGCTTCCGATCCTAGGATTGTCCGGCTGACATTGTTGAGTGATGGGTTTAATCCGTTTGGCAACATGAGTACGAGCTACAGCATGTGGCCTGTTGTTCTTACTCCTTACAATTTGCCACCATGGTACTGCATGAAAGTGTCTTTTCTTTTTCTTACTGTCCTGATACCAGGGAAGAAATCCACGAGTAACAATATACATGTGTATTTGGAGCCAGTGATTGAGAGCCTGAACGAGTTATGGAATCTTGGGGTCAAAGCTTATGATGCGTACTCTAATGAAACTTTTCACTTACATGATGCGCTGTTATGGACCATAAATGATTTTCCGGCTTATGGTATGTTGTCCGGGTGGAGTACTAAAGGTAGGTTAGCTTGTCCTATCTGCAATAGGGAGACAGACTACCTACGATTACAGTTTGGCAGCAAAGAGTTCTATTTGGGTCACCGTAGATGGTTAGACAAGGATCACCCATGGAGGAGAAGTAGGAAATTTGATGGGAAGTCGGATTTTAGAGATAGGCCTAAATTGTTAACTGGACAACAACTGTTTGACCAAGTTACTTTTGCCTTAGGCACTGAGCAGGCCAGTAGTAGTCGCAAAAGAAAAAGGGGTGCCTCAAATCCTAGTTTAAACTGGAAAACCAAAGCTACTTTCTGGGGTTTGCCTTATTGGACTAGTATTGCATTGCGGCATAACTTAGATGTTATGCACATGGAGAAGAATATCAGTGAGAATCTGCTAGGAACCCTGATGAACATTGAAGGGAAAACAAAAGATGGCATGACTGCTAGGCTAAATTTGGAGAACATGGGAATACGGAAAAAGTTGCACATTGACAGAACTGAGGCTAAGCCTTGTTTACCTCAGGCATGTTATTCATTACCAGTCTCGAAACAACGAGAAGTGTGTGAGTGGTTGAAAACCATAAGGTTTCCTGATGCATATGCATCCAACATATCACGCTGTATCACTAGTGATGTGCAGTCTGTGACTGGCATGAAAAGTCACGACTACCATGTTTTCTTACTGCGTTTATTGCCAGAAGTGGCACAAGGTTTCTTGAAGAAAGAAGTATATGTCCTCTTGGCTGAACTAAGCCAATTTTTTAGAGAGCTATGTTCGAAAACCATATCCAAATCTTCTGTCCACACCTTGCAAAAGAACATAATCTTAATTATGTGCAAACTAGAGTTGGTCTATCCTCCATCGTTCTTTGTCATAATGATGCATCTTGCAATTCATCTTCCTGACGAGATAATATTCGGCTGTCCAGTTCAATATAGGTGGATGTATCCAATGGAAAGGCACATAGGCAATCTTGTTTGTTTTTATTGGCTTAATGTTTTAAGTTTCCTTTTCACTAAGTTAACATGTGTTTCTGTATTCACTTGTACAAAGGTTCTTATGGAAATTGAAAAAATTTGTTACAAATAAAGCACATGCAGAGGGATCCATCGCAGAAAAATATATCACTAAAGAGTGTTCTGACTTCTGTGCGAGATACCTTGATGGGGTTGAGTTGGTAGAGACTCGTTTAGATAGAAATGTTGAAGGGCCTCATTTTCATGGTGAAGTTGGGTTTTCTATTTTCAATCAGAAGACTAGACCTTTAGGTGGAGCTAAATACGAGATTCTAAAGCGTCTTGAGTTTAACAAGATTCAAACCTACATACTAAATAATTGGGAAGAGGGGGAGGATTGCTTCAAGTAAGTTACATTGTCTTTCACATTAATTTCTCTTCAAGTGCGTAGGTAGTACAAGTTCACTTTTTCTAGTTAAAGGCCTGATCACACATGAAACTCCTGACAACATGTGTTTCGAGGAGATGAAGAAGAATAATCCGAATTCTACATTCACGGCTATTGCAGAAAATGGTTAAAAACTTGTGTAAGCTGTGGTCAATTCTATAAATCGATACTTTTAACGATTTTCTCTTTGTTGTTTTGAGTTCAAGTTTTCCTGGGAAATTCTAACTATGGCTTGCTGGTTTATTTTATTTTATATAGGGCCCGTTTAGTATCATTTTGTTGTTGTTGTGGTTGCAGTGGTGTTGTGTAAACAGATGTACAACCACAACAGGAAAAAAAATAGAAAACACAAACCTGTTTAGTTGATACATCTGAAAAATCATGAAAGCTGAAAACAAGAAACAAAAACGCGTTTAGTTACTACAAAAACGCGGGTCTGCGGGGTTGGCTGGCTGCGCGGCAGGCTGGGTCAGCGCGGAAGCAGAGGGGTCGGGCGAGGAGGCAGAGGGGTCGGCAAGCGGACGTCGGCGGCGGGTCGGCGGGCTGGGCTGGCTGCGCGGCGGGCTGGATCGGCGCGGAGGTGGAGGGGTCGGGCGCGGAGGCGGAGGGGTCAGCGACTGAGGAATTGGCGGGCGGCGCGGCGGAGGTGAAGCGGAGGTGGCGCCTTGTTGAGAAGGGTAGCGGGTGACGCCTCTGTTGAGAAGGGTTTAGGGGGAGAATAGTTTGGGGGTCGGCGGCTGATATGTTAGAAGCAGGGTTTGGGGGGTCGCGGCTGTGTTAAATTAAAAAAAAATTTGCTTCTGTGGGGATTCGAAAACTGGTCTGGTTTAATGAAATCAAGTGCCTAACCAGTAGGAATCCCGTGTGCAACATGTTTTAAAATCATATCCAAAGCAATAAATTGTTGTTTCTTAGATTTGGGCCTTGTTGTGCAACTCTGATTCACAATAGAAAATAGAAACCCAACTAAACATGTTTTTTTCTTGGTTTCTCAAATCTTTAAAAACACAACAGGAAACAAAAACAGGCAACAATACTAAACGGGGCCATAGGTTACAAAGTTGTTTGCCTCTGGCTCCATTTGCCAGAATGACCATTTATACATTCTAGGTATAGGTGCGGATGAGAGAATATCTAGATACACGGGTTTAATTGTAAATGGTGTTCGGTATCAAATTGATGACGTAGATAGTAAATGGAGTACTCAGAATAGTGGTGTGGCTGTCCAGGGGGGACGTAATGGGAAGATTATAGATTTTTAAGGTGCGGTGGTAGACATTTTGCGCATTCAATTCTACAACAACTTGAATGTATATTTATTCAAGTGTGATTGGTGGGATGTAGGAGATACGAGGAATGAGATCAGATCTGATGGTTTCCTAACTAGTGTGAACATAGGGAAGAGGTGGTACCAAAATGAGCCCTATGTATTAGCTAACCAAGTAAGACAATTTTTTTATATAGGGGATACAAAAAACAGAGGTACATGGCGTATAGTCAATAATGTCTGTCCTAGGCATATATATGACGTTCCAGAAAGGGGGGATGGGGAAGAGGTTGATCCAGTTTACAGTCATGACCCTTACCAGGACAATTCAAACACGGAGGCGGTTGAAATTCCATCAGAAAATATCGATGACCAGCAGCTTAGTAGTGTTGTTGGCTATCTAGTGACCCTAACTGCTAGCTAGGAAGAAGGTGGTTCCTAAAGATGCAGAATCAGAGGATGCGGATGATGAGGAGCTAGAGTACTTAAGTGAATGTTCTTAGGAGAATGACAGGAATGACGATGAAGATGATATGGAGAATGATGACTAGAACCGAGTTTTTTGAATTTTTCTGTCCTTATACTAGACTATAATTTTGAATTCTATGCTTCCAATGAAATTTGTGTAACGGTTTGCTGATAGTTTGTCATTTATATGTTATGGATTCTGGTTTGTCACATTGAAACCTTTCCTAACGATTCATACCGAGCCATACATTTATAGCTTGAGGAGTGGAAGCCTCATTGTGGTTTTATAATAGTCTTGTATTTGTTTTTGCAGATATGGCTCCTGGTATGCCTCGTGGTAACAAACGAAAGCGGGATGCAGCCAACCAATCAATCCCTGTAAGAGTGACAAGATCGACAGCATTTGCTGGAGGACTGGAGCCCGTTCGAGAACCGCTTCGGTAGTCGAGGAATAGAACCCACAATGACAGGATCTAAGAAGATTGTTGGGGTGAATGAGAAGTTGTTTAAGATGGAGGTGAGAGTTATATGTAAAATGATGGCTCCCATTGGGAAGTACTACTGGAAACATGTCACTGAAGAGGATAAGAAACCCATTTTCCAGAAGTTACAGGTAATTGTCGAGAAGTTAGCCTTATCAATCTCTGTTTATAATTTTTGCAGCCTTATCATAATCAGTACATGTTTGTCTTTATGTTCCAGAATGAGTTTGATATCTCCATCACTAGTGCAGCTACAAGGAAGACCATTGACTTTACCTTATCAAGGAGGTTCACGTCTTGGAAGCATCTATGTCATATGCACTACCAGAAATTAGGTCCTGCCAAAGCTCGCCAGACTACACCCGAAAACATCAACATTGATGATTGGACTTGTTTGTGTGATCATTTTGAAAGTGCTGAATTCAAGGTAATAACTCAGTTCTTAGATTGTCACCATTTTTGTGCCATATCTCATTTCAAAATGATATGATGTGCAGCGGCAGAGTGTAGCCGACAAACAAAACAAGGGTAAGCAAACATATGCTCATACTACTGGTGGAAAGTCGTGCAGCCAGCGGATGTTCGAAATTGTAAGAAGTCATTTTCAGTGGTTGATCCATTACACAAAAATGATTATTTTCGGGCTTTTTGAATGATTTAATTACTATGTCATGGTTTGAACTAGGAAAAAGCAAACCATGCAGCTACTGATGCCACTACTGAAAACAATGATGATTCTGGGGAGGTGGAGAATAGCAGTCAACCATCTGCTGCAGTGGAGGAAGAGCCCAAAGAACTAAGGGTCTATGCAGGCACCCACAAGAAACTTGATGGCAGTTGGGTGAATGTGCAACCTGAGCATAACTATGTAAGCACTCTTTTCGTTGTGGATGAGTAGCAGGAGGATTATAGGGAGTCTAGTGAATTAGAGGATAGTTGGTATATTGAATACATTAATGATTGGGGGTTTGTTGGGTGAAGGAATGATCTTGATTGGTTCCTGGAATGAGGCCAAGGAACATACCCTTGCGTGGTGTGTATTTATTATGTATATGGTTGCTTGCAGGAGGAAATGAGGAGGATTCATCTAGAGGCAGTTGAACAAGGGAATCCATTGTCAAGAGCTGAAATCGTTCGCAGGGTGCTGTAGAAAGCACCGAGTGATGTTAGAAAGGCATACCTCATTTCCGAAAGAGAGAAGGAACTGGAAGCTCGTTTGGAGACCTCTCTTGCTGATGCAGATAAACAGAGGCAAGAATTCGAAGATAAAATCAAATCTCAGCAAGACCAGATAGAAAAACAGGAAGAAGAGATCCGAGGTCATAAGGTGTCTATCGATGCCTTTCAAGCATCACAGGACAGTCTCAAGGAGTATGTGGAGTCACTTGCTGCGAAAATCAATGGAGGCAACACTTAGTTTCAGGTAATAAGAAAGATGTTTTTACATTTAGGAATTTTGTGCCTATAACAGAGTCTAATCGTTTTGCCTTCGCTTCTGTAGGAAACACGCCAGCTGTGGTGATGCACTTGGAGTCTCCACCGACAGCTTATGGATGCTTAGATTAGCTTTTGTTGGGTAGGGCTGATGTGGACTTTTGTTTCGCTTTTTGTTTTTAAGTACTGTGCTTCTAAATAAGTTATGAGTGTCAAGACATGAACGGTTGGTGGCACAAGAATGATATCCATCTTTTGGACATGAAGTTTGTTATGACAATGAAATATGTTTTTTTTATTATCAATGTTGTCGTAATAACCATCTAACTTGACTAACATACGGGTATCACAATAAGGGTCTAAGTAGACAAACAAGTCGTCAAAATAACAAGTCTAAATGACCAAAATTGGGAAATGTTGTCTTCTGTTTGACCAAATTCGTTTGTCAAAATAAGTACGAAGATCCGACACTACGTGTATTATGAAAAAATCTGATGACAAACTATTCGTCAGAACTACATATTTCGTCAAAATAGCTGGGAAAAAAGTGTTGAATATTGTCACAAAATACCCCTTGTTCTGACAAAATATACCGTTATTTTAACACACCCATTCTGTCATAATAGGTGGATATTATAACGACAACAATTTTGTCAAAATAGGAAAAACTTATTGTGACAAAAAAATAATTTTGTCATTACAGACTTATTTTGACGAGGTAGTTTTGACTAAAAGTGTGACAAAATATTTTGTCAAAATAAACCTATTATGACGAAGTTGAGATCTATTTTGACAAACATGGGTGTCAGAAGAAACCAAAATTCTTGTAGTGACACTGTTTTGTACATATACTTTATGGTACAACTTGAACTTGTACCTTTATGTGATGGTACAACTTCAACTTGTAAAGTTGTACCATAACATAAGGGTACAAATTCCTTTATGGTACAACTTGAACTTATACATTTAATGTTATGGTACAACTTCAAGTTGTACATTAAAGCACCCATATTTTATAGCATAGTAAAAGGGCTCGCCAATACCCCCATGAGAAAGTTAAAGCTCAACTATAAAACACTTAAACTATACATAGTTTGAGGTGGTTTTCATGGTTTTGTACGTAATCCTAAAGTCTAGTGGTTGTCCAAAATGTTTTGGTTTAGTAAATATAGGCAGGCCCATTTAATATTTGGCCCATAATATTTTGGTTTGTTGTGCACATAGAAATAAAATAGGGAATCATGAAAGTTTGGTTTGGTTGATTGCATGGAAGTATAAATAATTTTGTATATTAGGTGTATCATGTAATTGGTTAATTGGTTTCATTGATTAGATGTCTTGAAATAAAACCAAACCACCTAAATCAAATAAGTGAAATTGTTTAATCAAACCAAACCAATTATCCAAATTAACCAAACCAAATTAACCGAATGCTACCGGTTAATATGATTACCACAAAACGTCTGGTCATCATTTCTTTTCTAGATTATTAATTACTCCGATCGAACTCTTTATATTTGTCATTGTACTTAATTTCCAAGCGTATGCGACACACAGCAGAATAGTTTGATAAACATCTGAGCCCAGAAGAGGGGAGGGAAATAGACAAGAAAACGTTTCAGGAAGTAACTTAAAACCATACATCAGTACTTCTGTTATCCAAAGCTACATTCCTATGTTACTTAGCTCAATTTGAGATGCCAAACATTACTGGACTGTGCATGCCGGCCAACGAAACTGGCCAAAATGTTTAGTATAAAAGGGATTGAACCCCACGTTCAGGTTTCTTCATTATCAATAATCCAGCATCATTAATATATATCAAAGGTACTGTTTCCACTGTTTAACAGCAGAAAGGAGAGAGAGATTATGGGTAAAGATCAGCAGAAGAAGATGAGATTGATCAACTCTGCTTCTTCTTCTGTGTGGGTCTTCGTAATGCTGGCGGCTGCGTTTATAATTATGATGATCGGAGGAAATGCTACAGCAGCGGCAGCAGCTCGCTCGATGCCTTCAACTGATCACGAGGCTAACGTCGCTGTTTACCGCACCACTCCAGGTACAATATTTGATTTAAATGGGCCGAAATTTCATCGAAATATATCTAACGGCCAAATCACTATCCCCTCCTAGTATATATACGAACGCAACTGCAAAGCATGAACTAATGGGTTTCTTTTTGTTGTTTTTTTTTTTTTTTGTCCCGTACGTACGAAGCTCGACAGTATTGTTGCGGACGTGATGACGCCGAGAGGCCCAATTTTTGTACTCGCTGGTGCAAGAAATATTAACCGCAGCTCTCTCTGTGCTGATGGAGTATCTACCGGTGCCGATTAATGAAAGAAACAAAGAAAGAAATCATATAAAAAAGCATACTATTGCTTCACTTATTATATTTACCCCCATTTGTCAACGCAGTTTCGTGCTCTTGTTTCCCGTTCGTTTGCTTTTTTACCTCGTTTCGTTGAGGTTTATGTAACTCATACACCTTTTCTATCACCATTATCATCACTGAAATAAATTACAGACTGATTATAAGAGAAACGAGAGACCGCTGAGGATTTGGGTGGAGGAGCAGTAGAAAACCAACTGTCCTCTCTTTTGTGTTTTTCTATTTATATTGAGTCTCAACGGCTAATACACACGGTTAACCGTTATACAAATTTCATTAAACAAAGTCCGATAGGTGGCTCATCCAGATTCGTTATTGACCAACTAACCTGTAATTAAATAGATTAACAAATACATAATGGAACGACAACGTTGGCATAAATGCCACTTTAGTTCCAAACATTCAATCTTCTCCACTTCAGTCCATCGTGTTGATGCTGGTGAATGGAGTGAATCCTTGCTTCATCAGGATTGTTGTGGATGACTGTAGTGGCTGATGTTCTTCTGGTGTCAGCTCCATGCTGGTCCTCCAATAGACACCCACAAGATGGAGAGTATACATCAATCACTCCCATCTTGCCCAATAATTCAAGCAACTTGTATTTGCTAACCGTGAAAATGTCAGTGATCACTATGGCTTGGCTGCATGCAAAGCAGTCCGCCCCAACAGCCTTTGGGCTTAATATGATCATGCCGGTCTTAACCCTTTCTCGAGTAACATGCATATCAATCTCAATATATTTAGTTCTTTCATGAAAAACAGGGTTCTCAACAATATGAATTGCTGACCTGTTATCACAGTAGACAGTAATTGGAGTCTTTACCTAACCTGCCAGCTCTGACAACAGTCCCTTAAGCCACTGAATCTCACTAACCAAATTTGCCAAAGCTCGATATTCTGCTTCATAAGAAGACCTTGAAACGGTTGTTTGTTTCTTACTTTTCCATGTGAGTAATGAATTTTCAATTAAGGTACAAAATCCTGTAATATATCTTCTTGTATCTGGACATGCTACCCAGTTTGAATCACTATAACCAGTGATGGTGAAATCTGTATTGCTGCTAAACAAAATACCTTGCCCTGGAGATTTCTTGAGGTATTTAAGTACCCTGTATGCTGCCTGCATATGTGTCAAGAGGTTACCTTGAAACTGACTTAACTACTGTATAGTAAAGCAAATATATAGCCTAGTTATGATCAAGTAGTGTAGCCTCCCACTCAACATTCTGTAGCACTTAGGATCATCAATGGGGACTCCTCCTCTTGAACTCAGCCCAACTTTCATATCAATAGGAGTTAGTGTCTCCTTTGCATCTTCATAACCATATCCTCCACCAGCTTTGTATAGTATTTCCTTTGAATAACCACAATGCCATCAGCATTCCTCACAATTTCCAGTCCAAGGAAATACTTCAGGACTCCAAGGTCCTTAATCTTAAAACTTCTTTTCAAATACACCTTCACCAGTTCAAGATCATCAAGCTTCTCACCTGCCAGGATGATATCATCCACACACACAAGTAAGATTACTAACTTTCCCAATACTTTCTTTGTGAACTTGGAGTAATCTGAAGCTGATTGTGAAAAACCATTCTTCAGCAAGGATGAGGTTAGTTTGGCAAACCATTGCCTACTTTCCTACTTTAATCCATAGAGAGACTTCCTAAGTTTGCACACTTTTCTTTCACTTTGATAGGTCAAAAGCGCAATGCTTCAATTCCTATCTCGAAGTAAACAGGAAAGTCCGGGTATCGTCTCTCAGGGACTGGTACAACCTTGAGTTATATCAATTTTATGAGCAAACTATAAGTAAAAAACAGTTTAATGAGACTAATTTCTAAATCAAAATAAAATAAACAAATTAACTAAATGAAAACTGTCGGGAGAAATTCAATGGAGAAAGCTCTAGGACAAACACCGGGTCTCACTACCTATCATATCCAAATTAATTCACATATTCTAATCAGTTTAATCCATATCTCTACAGCCGGGATATCTCTACGGTGCTAGCTTTCCCTGTCGGGAATTACTACGTACTAAACAATTAAATTAAATCCTACTGTCGTAGCTCATTGAGTTAATTATTTAGCCTTAAGACCGATATCACAATCAAGACCGCATAATACCTTATTTAATCCACTGTCACTTTGATAAGTTACCATGTCACATGAAATAGGTTCGGTTATTAGGGTTCCACTGTCGCTAATAACCTAATTAACTACAAATCGATGTATTGGTGGCCAGTCAACACAAAGCATTAAGCAATTCCATGCAATAGAGATAGTAAGAAAAGAGATATGAATCAATCCATCAATTCTAGAAATAGCTACATCCTATGGTGTTTCTCCCAAAAATTGGGGTTTAGTTCATGACAAAAATAAAACACACAATCAGGTTCATAATCATCATGTCACAGATCGAAACAAAAGGAAAAGAATACTGAATTTGTCGAACGATCCGGCTCCAATTCCTTCTTGCTCCGGTCGCTACTCCGCGCTAGTCCTCCTTGTGGCACTATGCTCCTTCTCCGCGCTACTGCTCGCTGCGCTCAAGTCCCAATTATTCCCCCTCGCCCAAAGAAATCAATACCCCCCCCCCCCCCCCCCATGAAATCAATAT